ATATTTATTAAACACTTTTTTTTTATTTTTATTTATTAATCTTTTTTATTAAATTAATTACTTATTTATTAAATTATTATTTTATTTATTTATTTATTTAATCATCTTTTTTTTATTTTATTTTTTATTTATTAACTATTTTTTTTTAATTAAAGATTAATCAAAATGCCAGAAGTCTCTTACCTTAACAAACGAAATACAATCTCTGCAGCAATTAATGAGTTAAACAGTTATCCTGTTGGCACTAAATGCCTAAGTGTAAATCGTGCAGTGAGAAACTTTGGGCTTTCTGAAGCTACTCTTCAATGTGCAATCAAGAAAGGTGGCTCTTCAAATCATTGGGGTCCATCTACAATTCTTACAGAACATGAGAAAAACCAACTTGTTGGATATTGCATGAACATGCAACAGCTTGGATTTGGTTTAACTAAGTCTGGAGTAAACCATTGTGTAATGAAAATAATTCATTACAATAAACGACCATATCCATTCAGAGATAAAGGTCCAGGTCGAGACTGGTGGACTCGTTTCATGAGACAACATCCTGAATTATCATTTCGCACCTCTCAAGAATTATCTAAAGCTAGCGCACAAAGAGCCAATCCAATAATCGTTAAAAACTATTTTAATAAACTTGAACAAATAATTAACGAAAATTTACTTACAGCAACACAAATTTGGAATATAGATGAAACCGGGTTCGTTCTTGTACCTAAGCTAGAAAAAGTTATTGCAAAAAAGGGCTCGTGTCAGGTCCATAAAGTTGCACATAGTAACTCTCATGAGCATATTTCAGTTGTACTAACAATCTCGGCCACCAGCTTGTACATTCCACCTTTAGTTATCTATAAAGTAAGTATGGTAAAAAAAAAAAAAAAACAGTTTAAAACTTGTGATGATTAAAGTCTGAATACTCTATTTTTAAAAAAAATTTACCATCTCTACTATAAAGGTGTTTACACAATTTTCGGTTTGCTACAAGGCGCACGTCCTGGAGCAGTAATGGGTTTTACAGATACCAGATATATGCATGAGGACCTTTTCCAAATATACCTTAGCTATTTCACTAACTCGATCTCTCCAATTCAACTGGTTTTACTAATACTTGATAGTCATAAGAGTCATATTAGCTAAACGTGCATCGATTTTTGTCACCAAAATGGAATACTTTTTTATGCACTTCTACCACATACGACTTATATTTTACAACCATCTGAAATTCCTTTTGCAAAATTGAAAAAGGAATTTGGGAAACAGTGTGATAAATATTACAATACTACTAGCAAAGTAGTAACAAAATACACCTTTGCAAAACTTTTTGGACCAGCTTTCATTAAGACTTATGCACTGTCTGCTATTTGTAATGCTTTTAAAGCAACAGGAATATGGCTGTTTAACCCCAAGGCCATTAGTCCTGATTGTTTAAACCTCTCACTAGCAACAGAATGATTCGATATTGTACCTTCTCTTAGCCAGCCTTCAAAACCGGTTACGTCTTCTCTACAATCAACTACTAAACTAAATCATTCTCATTATACCCGCATAAATTTTACCTAGTTAATGTCAGAAAATAAGATGCTTAAAAATGAAATTGAATCACTAAAAGTTCAATTTACAGTAACCCAAGAGGAATTAGGAACCTATAAAAGTCCCAGAACAAGTTCTTTATGTTCGGTTTTCAAGTACATCCCTCATGTTCTGCAAGCTGGACCTTTGAATACTTCTTTAGTAAACCAACAAGAGCCTGGTCCCTTCTCTAAAAAAAGAAAGATGCTTCTATTTGCACAACTTCTTACTAATGATGAAAGTTGGGGGAAGTTGAAAGAGACAAATGAAGAAGCAGAAAGGAAAGTTGAAGAGGTGAAACGAAAAAAAGTATTGGCAGCCCAGAAAAAAATCGAACGACAGCAAAAATTAAAACAAAAAAAGGAAGAGCGTGAGCAAAAAAAACGAGAAAAAGATGTGCATAAAAGTAAAATGCAGTAAAAATAGACTTATCATTAAAAAGTTTATTGTTAGTTAGGTTAAATACATATCGTTCAATAAAGCATTAAACTAAAAAAAAATATTTAAAAATGCAATTTTCAATTTCAGAGATCCGTTAAAGCAGATCAAGTTTGATTGCCCAATATAATGTAAAACAAGTTGATTATTTTAATTATTAACTACTTAAGTGAAACTTTAAGTCAAAAACTAATGATTTTTACTACATAGTCACTTCATTCTATATAAAAATTAAAAATTTAATATACTAGCTTTGCGTTATTGACAGAATTGCTTCTAAGGCAGGTTGGTGAATATTAAAATTAAGTTTTTAAAGTACAATGGTTTTTTAAAGTACAATCTGACGAAATTTTAAACCATATTATAAAAAAGACAATTCAAATTGAAAGTTCTATTATAAACAATATAAAAAAAAAATCAGGTAACAGTTTTTTTAATGCCAATACATTCATATAATGATCTACATGCTGTATAAATTGTATTCTTGATACCTATATAACCCGTTAACTATAACTGAATCAAAAAAGTAACCCTAACTGGTACCTGGCCCTAATTCATCACAATACCTTCCACTCTTCCAAAATTCGATTTTTTGTATCCCATGTACGAATCGATTATTATGCTCTAAACTGGTACTGTACTTTGATAATTTATACTAAATATATTCTAAAATAAGTGTCACGTATATTCTAAAAAAAAAAAATTAGTTAATATATAATAAAGTATAAAATTTTACTAATAATATCTTTAACTTCGTCACAATACCCCTATTTACTTTATATAAAATCATATTTATCTTATTGTTGATTCTTATTCAATATTGACAACTATTCTCACTGTTTCTTCTTCTCTTATATACTTCTTGCATTTGTTGATTTTAATTATTAAGTTATTTTCTATATTATGCACCTGCTAGTATTCTATTAATAGCTTCTTCTTTTTCTTTTTAACTATTTTTCCCAATTGCCTATTCTTTATTGCATTGTATACTATCCATTCTTTTTTCTTTCTGCCTTTTGACAGACTTTTTCACTTAATTTTTATTGCCTGTATGTTATATTTGTCTGTCTTGAATTGTTCTTTAGCTTCTCTGCTTTTAAGTCTGTTTAGCATTTTTGTTTCTATTGTTTTGAATCACTCTGCCTTTTTGTCTTTACTTGATTGTTTTTAATAGTTTTTAAATTGCTGCCATGTTATTAGTCTTCTCTTTTTATGTCAAAAAGTTGATTTAGATATATTAGACCTGCTTTATTTATTTTGATTTCACTTTGTTTTCACAGTTGTGGTTCTACTAGTTTAATTATTCTAAAACTATAACTAGTTGCTGTCTATAATTTACTTTCTGTGCTTTTATTTATTTTTAATTCTTTTACTTTAACTATTATCAGACAGGCTAAATTGTTCTTCCAATATAACTTGTCTTCTGACAGTTTTTCTATATTTTATATGTCTTCTGTTAAACTTTCTTTTTGACAGTCTTGTGTTATTTTTAGTTTTATTAGCTGCTCTAATTCATCTTTTTTGTTTAGTTTTGCTACTAGACCTCTTATTTGTTTTATTATTAATTCTTGTTGTAGGGTTTTGCAGCTACCAAGGTTCTTATATTCTATTATGCAGTTTTCTAATATTCTTAGTAAGTTGCTTTTTTGTTTTGCCAAATATATCATTAGTTGGTATATTTTATTTATCTTTTTCTTTGATATTTTTATTAATTGCAACATGTAGCTTAATTTTGATATTATTATTATATTGTTTATATATACAATCTGGCTTATTATTATTTTTCTATATTTAAGGTCTTTTATTGTCTGGCTTATTATTCTTTTTACTTTTTTCCTTATTAAGACTTCTCACATTCTGTTGTTTAACCAGATTCTTAGTAAATGAACTATCTTGTTTCTTGGCTTTTCTATTATCTTGCTTCTTTTAAAAGTTATTTCCTTTTCCTCTTTTTTTTTTTTTAATATTAAGACAAGTAATTGTGATCCAGAAGTTTATTGATAATCAGTTGGCATATAACTATTGTATTCAACAGCTACAGAGTCAATCATAAAAAAAGTGTACAACTAGCCATTTATACAACTTTAGTTATTGTCTATTTTAAGTAGTTTACCTGAAATTTATACTAGTTGTTTTACCTAAAATCAGCTTATGCATTTTCTATTTAAATATTTTAGTTTTCATATTCATCTCTATTTTATCAATTGCAATGTTAAACTGCAAATATACCATAGTCACTAAGTCATGTTTAACTTTATACTAAGCTTACCAAAGCCTTCTGTATCCTATACTTATAGCTGACCTAGTACTGCTCTGGCCTAAACTATTACTTGCAGTCAAGACTAATTATTAAATTGCTATACTCTTGTAAAGTTTACTAGGACTCTAATACTTTTCTTTTCTAACTTCTACTCTTTACTTCTGAACCTACAAGACTTCACAAACTATCAATTCAAATGGTCTAATATAGTATTCTAAGATCCTTTTCCTTTGGCAGTTTCTAGCAGTCTGGTTAGTATATGCTTCTTTATATATGTTGTTATCTGATTTATCCTAGTAATTCTTTTTTGAGGCCTTTTAATAGTTTAGTAGTACTATCAAAAGTCCATGCTATCTCTTTACTCAGAATTTCTAAATAGGTTTTTGTGCTTCAGTTTCTTAGCATTATGTATTTAGTAGTCTTATTATGGGTTTGCACTAGAGCTTTATGCAATACTGTTTATTAACATTTCTCTATTTACATGTAATATTACACTTTATATAGATGCCTTAAGCTTCTATTTAAAATGATGTTCCTAAGATTACAAATTATCTCTTTTGTCCAACTGATTAACAAGATACAGTTACTATAATATAGATATTATTTTCAAATTTCACTATTCATAGAATTTGAACACTAGACCTGCTACTTGGAAGTTAACAACCTGTCTACTTCATTAGGTCACTACATTTTTTTTTCTTTTTTTTTAACTTTACTATTTATTACTATCAGTTTTGATTTAGATTTATTTATTTCTATATTGTTCATTTTGAAAAACTCTTTTGCCATCTTAAGGATTTCTAACAATTCTTTTTTATTATTTGTGATCTACATTGTATTATTTGCATATGCAATTTCTGCTTGATGATAGTTTGTAATATTGTTACAATATGTTTCTTCTTTAATCTCTTGTTCTATTATGTAGTCTAACCTTTATCCTTCTGTATCTTTTCTAATAGCAGATTATAGAAAAGTTATTATATTAGTAGTAATATTACTTTGCTTTGGTTTATTTCATCTCTTGCTATTATTTCTTCTGTCAAGCCATATGCTATAATTATTTTTAGCTGTTTTTTATAAAAAAGGTTTAAGATAACTTAATTGTCAAGTTGGGTATTTTGACTCTTTGTAAGGCTAGTTTAAGACTTTTGAGTAAAACTAAATCAAATACCTTTTTCATATCTTGTAGAAGTATTTTATACTTCTTTATTTTTTTCTCTTGCCTTTTCTATTATTATGTTTAGAATATGTACTAGTTGTTCTGTCAAGTTTTTTAGTAGATCTGCATAGTTTGGTTCTTTAAGTATTTTTTTTTAGTGAATATTTTGCTAAGCCTTTTTGTTATTAACTTTGTTACAACTTTTTTAAATGTTTCAATTAGAGCTATTAGTCAAATATTGTTCAAACTGTATCTCCATTCTATGTCTTTTAGTATTGGATGATATACTTGTGCTATTTTTTATTTATCAGTATCTCTCCTATTTCTAAGCACAATTTGCATAGACTCTGAAAACCTTTTGAGTTTTTCTTTCTGCTTATTTAATTAAAGTATAACTTATTTTTGATATTTTTGAAGCTGTTCTTGTTTTGAGTTCTTTAATTATCTTATTTTATTTTTCTTTCTTAATTTTCTTTTTGATTTCTTTATATTATTCTTCTTTAATATGGTTTTGCAGTTTATAGATTTCTTTTTAGCTTTTTGACATCTTTTCTAATATTATATTTTTTCTTTCTTATAGTGTTATACTGTTGCTTCTTTAACTAATTCTGTTTTCATTACTAGTCTAGTTTCTTTTTCTGTTTGTTTAATTACTCTGTAGAGTATTAACTTCTTGTATATCTTGTTTAAAAGGCTAGCTATTATTTTTTCTTGATCAGTTTTGATTATTTTACATCTTTTGATTATGTTATCTTCTATTTGTTTTCTTTGTTTTTGTTTTTATTCTTTCTTCTTTTTTTCTTAAAGAATTTTTTGTTAGTCTTTTATGTTCTCTATTCAAGCATTAGACTATTGTCTTTGGATTTTTGGTAATTTTGTACTAATTTCTTTGTCTAGCTTCTTGAGTTTTCTATTTACTTACTTTTATCTGTTTCTGTGACTTTCTGCTCTTTTTTTATTATTGCATACTTGACTAGTCTTTGAATCTCTACAATGATTTTTTCTTATTATTAATCTTCTTGATTATGTCTTCTGTTTGTTATCATATTGTAGACTTTTTCTTTAAATATATGTTTGTTTGTTATTGTTATAATTGCCTCTTCTATTATATCCCATATATTGTTAATTTTTTGTGCTTTCTTTTTCTCTTCTTGTTTATCTTTTTGTATATTTTCTAAAACTTCTTTTAACTTTAATCTCTTTTGTAGCTCTTGTGCATAATTCTTCTATTCTTTCTTTTTTGTTTTATTATAAAGATATATTGTTCTTGATTGGCTTTTCCTTTTGATTTCTGCCTTGCTACTTTTTATTATCATATGTTTTACCCATATTTCTGCTATTACTATCTTGTGATTGCTCTCAGTAATTTTTTTTATATCTTCAATTTCTGCTTTTTGTAGACCTGAGGCTAGTTCTTCAAATATTTATATATAGTTAATTCTTGTTTCTGTTTCTGAATTTGACCATGTATATCTCTGTTTAGTTAGATACATTTTTCTGTATATATTATAGAAATCTTGTTTTTTTATTTAACTAAATATCGCCAATC